TTTGCGTTTCCAATGGGAGGGGGGGGGGGGGGGATGATAAACGGGCCAGCGGGAGAGATTTCGGCTGAATGAATATTAATAAATACGAGGCGCGCGTGAATCGAAGACTGATTATACGTAACATCTCGCGCGGGGAGATCTTATCTCGCCGGATGTTCACGAATTGCGATAAAGTATCTCGGCGGACAAGCGGGCGGAAAGGCCGAGAAGCGAGACTCTCTCAGATCCCGCCGGTGAATGTTGGGCTGTTTCGGCGTGACACGTGCTGGAAGAAAGAAGTGACGTGCGTGCGTGTTTTCGCAAACACGATGTCAGTTCCAAATTCAGCGATAATGTGTTCGGGTTGCGTCGCTCGATAATATCGCGAGATATTCCCGTATAATTGATAACAGGCTCGCGATGAGACCCGCGCGCGAATGTGTAACATCCTGCGAAACGATAAAAGTTTTCTGCAAAATGGGGAAAAAAAGTCCGCTCCCCCTCCCCCGGTTGCAATGCTGCTGGCGCGACACACGATAACGCAAATAATCATAAGATTTATTAATAGACGGACGCGTTCTCTACACATGTGTGCGGATGCGCGCGCCGCGTTAAGCGTGTATTCGCGACACGCCGGGAGCATAAATCGCCACGGGATGCTGAGAGAGATGCGTTATTATCAGAAAAAACGCGCGAGTGTGTGTGAGTTAACCGGCAATTCCGCGGAACGTAGTAGTACGCAACGCCGACGGCGAGCCCGTAACCGATCGATCGCGGCGGCGCGCATCTCGCCCGCGGTCTCTTAATAATTTCGCGCAGTTTTACTTTCACCTGTGCGCGCCCCGGCGCTGCATTTCCCGGGCTCGATAACGGGCCCGGTGTCACCGCGTTATTATCGAGTTTTATGTTATCTCTTATTGAATATCTCCACGCTCGCGCGCCGCTAAACCGCACGCCAAAAGCGCAAGAGAGAGAGTCGTTTACGGGCAACGCGCGCGCACTCGTCGTCGTCATTGTCGTCGGTCGCGCTCGACTCCGGTCGGCCGACGTCGGCTCTGCGGTTCGGGCGTTTCCGCGCCACGCTTGTACGAACTTAACCTTATTACACATTGTGGAAGCGATTAACCGAGTCTTACCGCGTGTTCTCTTTCGCCGTTTTAAAAGCACGACGGGGACGCAGGCGGCGTATCCTCTCTTCTTATAGACGCGAATCGATCGCGAAAACGCTTCCTCGCGATATTCGAGCCCGGCCGAACGGTCGTTACACGGCCGGACGAAACGAAATTACGTCACGCCGCGGCACCAGTAACACAATTACGCGCTATTATCCACGCGCTTACGTTTGACCTGGTTTTAACTCCTGCATCGGCAATTTCTTTTTGCATTCGGCATCAGCGGCCGGCTTTTCGAACATGACACCGCTGCCGTACGTATAATTGTGGATGAGAGACACATCGCGATGTACAAAATTCGCGCGCACTGAAATATCAATTGAATTGTCGTAACCGGATGTAGGTGGAGCCGATCGGATAATTTAGTCGATATATGCTCGACGAACTGTTCGATCACTGCGATCGAAAAATTTAGTTCTTCGATAAAAATAAAAACGAGAACAAAACTGCCGTCGAGGATAGAACTTCGGACTTTCGTACGCCGGAATTTATAACGTCTCGCTTATCGAGCTACGAGAACGCTGTTGCACATAAACTTCTTTCCAGATGTAAGTTTGTTTCATGATAATTTTTCATGAAAATAACGTGTTCTTCATTTTTTAAGAAACCGGAGGAAACTAAAGCAAATAATTTGGTTGCCCTAACTCAGGCGAATTTATGAAGTTTGTTCTCTCTATAATGCATTTGGTTGATTCGAGTAAAAAAATGTGATATCGTCGACCATAATGTGCGTTTGCTGGCGGTTATAAAAATAAAATTTCCAGTGCACACACGTAGCTAGGAAATACCGCGTAAAAAGAAAAGTACGTATAATTTCTCGCGGCAGAATTAATCGAACGTGCTAAATTATTCGGTGTACAAGAAAGAAAACTGCTATATTTAAATAAATATATTTGCGTAGATGAAAATTATAGTTTCTTTTTTTTTTTCTGGCAGTTCGTTACGTTCAAACAATAATTAATTTGATATGAGTAGGAATAATCATTCCGATAGCCTCCTTTAGCGATTATATGAATGTAGCACTTTTTCGAATCACGATCAATCAATAATAATTGACTTCGTGGAAATGTTGAATATAGGATCGAATCGAATGTCCAGTAAAATGGAGTTGAATACACGCTGGAGTGTTTCCTCGGCGGCGGTTCGGCTTCGCCGATTACGCATTACGCCGCCTCGTGATCGCGTCGCATTCTTGAAAAGCGCGCACTTTAGGCTCGTTGGTAAGGAACACGGTTTAGACGTAGCATCTAATGCAATCCGAGTAACTGGGTCTAGGCCCTCAAGGCCCAACGATTAAGCGAATCTCGAAACAGGCTCTGTCGCAATCGCCGTCTTTGCACGCTGTTTTCCACGGCGTTCCTACGACAGCAACGGCGGGAGGGGAGGGGGAGATTGCTTAACGCGGAAAGTTTCCAGAGTGCTTGCGAATGTTTACGAAAGGAAGCGGTTTCTTATATACCTGCGCCTACTGCGGGCGCCTTTAAAAACAGTACAGAGAGAGAGAGAGGGAGAGAGAGAAAAAGGCAACACTCGTCGGCGAAAATCGTCGTTGAAAAATGCGCGTTTGCAAAATTGCATCTTCTTGGTAACACACATCGCCTCGCGAGAGAGAGAGAGAGAGGAAAATAGAGACAATGGCCGCGCGCGCCTCCTATCGCCGCGCGTAATTAAGCTGAAACAAACGAGCGCGATTTCACGCGATAAGAATTAAGATTCGCAAATTCGATAATCGGGACTCCCGCCGGCGGGTATCATCGTCAAGTGATAACGTCAATCGCACCCACCGCCGGTGGACGCTGCAATTTCCTCGGCCGCGCGGAGGAACAATGGAAGCGTCGAACGAAATGAAAAATTACCATTCGACTTTCTCCATCTTTCCCCGAAATCGTTTGCGATCACGTCTCGTTGCGTACGTTCCGAGTTTCCGCCTCCTTCCGTTTGTCGTTGTTGATCTTCTTCACGTCAACGAATGCACTCGCAGCCGGCACTGTCTTGCCGGAAGTCATGTCGAAGTTGACGCTTAATCGCGCGAAGCGTACCGATATATCGGTAGCTCGTTAATTAATCGTTGTGATTTTTTTTTTCTTTTACACCGACACAATGCGAATTTGCCTTCTCGCTTTCTTCCGCGAGAATCCGGAGCGAAATTAAACCGTCGCGCGAAAGAGACGCGACGAGGTGCGAAATGAAGCGGGCGAGCACACTCGTAATCGCGCGATAACACCTGTCACAGATCCCGCGGCCAGGCTTGTGTGTGTGTGTGTGTGTGTGCGTGTCGTTCGCAACCCGTGAATACGAGAACAAGGCTCGTTCGGCGAGAACAACGAGCGTTCCGCGCGCCTATGCCTTTTTATGAACGATTCGAAAATCACATTCCGCCGACAACTCGCCGTCGTCGGGCGTTTAAACGCCGTGATTTCTCGGCTCGCGCCGTAGAACGCGCGAGCGATTCGCTCGAATCGCGCGCTACGGTCTCGCGTGAAAATTAATTCACTCCGCCGACGAGCGTACGTGCTCGTCCGAGATTTGTATACCGTGGACTTATCTGCTCGAGGTGATCAAATCAACGTTCGCGCGTGTATTCCCGTGCACTCGGCGCCGAATAAACTCCCTTTTCGTACACTTTCGTGCATCTCGAAACACGGCAGCACCTCGAATCCTCGATCTGTTTCGATCTGATATTAATATCGCGCATGTAACCTTGATATGTTGATTATATCGATTAAATGTAATATTGATATTATGCGCTATAAATCCAAAGTGTTTTATACATTTATGTAACACACATATGTGTGGAAAATCATAGCAGTGACGTACAAGTGCGTGAAAAAGTGACTATATGATTTTGAACACAAGTGTGTGTGTGTAAAAATGACAGGACTTGGATTTGCAGTGTATGCGCTGAGTAATGTTTACACATTTGTGTGTGTGTGAAATCACCCGAGTCGAAATTTTTGATTCTTCGCTTAAGTCTTCAAGTGGAGAAAACGGCAATAATTTCCTCATTTATAGGATCAAAGGAACGCAATAGAAGATTTTTGAACAATTGTTGTGGTAAAAAATGTGGTCAGTCACAAAAAGGTTGCAATCCTTTTTATATACCTTTTTTTTTTAGTTGCATATGCCCCGTGTCCAACAGGATTATCTGTTTTTTAATCATTCTCAGAAAACACATTTTCTTATAGGATACAAGATGCATTACGAAATTCATCGAAAAAACAACTATTGCAACGTTTTTCTGTAATTGTGACCATGCGACGTATTTCATTCAAATTTTCTTTTATACGCGCGGGTATCGAAGGTGCATCAAACGCGACGAAGAAGGGAACAACGCGTTCTTTACTCCTCGTATTATTTAACGCGCAACGCGAAGCGCGCTGTGCATTTTGCGCAATTTCAAAGCACGGCCGTGCACA